TGGTGCCCGGGCGCAGAGGCACCCTCCGGTTGCTCTTGGGCAGAAGCGAGAGAGAGCCTTTGCCCGCAACTGCCCGCTTGCCCAAGCTGATATGCAGCCGCCGCCCCTTGTTCCTGATTAGTTGACTGGTATGCAGCCGCCATTGGTTTCCCGAGCGGGTAGCTCCCCTGTCGCCGGTTGCTCTGCTCATCTTTGCCTGACTGGCAAGCCTTGGCTGAACCTCGGGCGCTGATCCACCCCCACGTCCCCTCACCGGCGCCTCACCTGATCCTCAGCGGGACGGCGTAGTCTTGCCCGAGTTGGTGTGGCTTCCCCTTGGCCTGCTAGCAGATCGACCCGATCCCTGACGCTAGTGTACCCCCCCAGTGCCAGTTGCTGTGCCATGCAAGCAAGCGGGCTGGTAGTGCCTCGCTTGTGACTTTGCCGCCGTTTGCTCTCGCACAAGCCACTTGACCTCCTTGTAACCACCACTCCGCCCCCTCCCTTCGATCACTTCTCCGCTCAGTGGGTCTCGCTCTCTTCCTCCGCTGCTGCCCACAATGGACTCTGCCAATGTCGCCTCGTCGCAGGGTCCTCCCATCGCTCCTGCCTCGACGATGAGGTCTGCTACTCTCCCGCGGGGCCAAGTCACAGCCGGGCTAGACGACGAGGCAGGCTCAGCATCGCGTCCAGGCTCCAATAAGCGATCCGTGCTGCCAAGCACAGAGCCTCGAAAACGGCAGGGTGGCGTTGACAGCAAGGCTCGGCGATGCCATGTCCAGCAGCAACGGAACATCACTACCACCCTAGCCAATGGTGCCGCCCCTTCAGACCCTGTCGAGGCCACGACCGCTGCTCTCGCTACCACATCATCTGAGGCGGCTCTTCCCCCCTCTTCCGCCCTCTCCGTTGCTACCGGCAGAGGCATACACGCAGTCTCGCACGACAGTCTGCAACCCTCCCGCGCTAGGCAAGACTCACAAAACTCTTGCATACCTTGTCCCCTTCCTGATTACCTGCCGCGGGCAATCACTCGCGGGTACCCGCCTCTGCGCCACGCCGTTTCGACTCCCTTGCCTCTCCTGGCCACTCACCCCAAGACGACGGTGCACAAGGAAAAGCGCTGGCAGCCCTTGGCACCTCCCATTCCCCCTGCCCCGCTGTATGGCCATCAAGATGCAATCTCCGCCCTGCCTCTCCAATTCCGCACCAAGAACGACGCCGAGCTGTGGGCCAGAGTATATATCGGTGCCGAGGACCAGACAGTGGCTGCAAAATGGTTGAAAGATGGAGAGGGGAAGCGGTCCGGAGCGGCCGAGATTGGAAGGCACTTGGTACGAGCAGGAAATGGCGGTCGCAGCGGAGACGTCATGGTGAGTACGGCCAAAGAGGACAAGCTCAGCTGAGCAGGATGTCGCAGTGCTCTAAGTCAGTCCTGACGCAAGATTACTTTGCCTCTTCTGCCTCCTTCCCTCAACGCGATCTTCACCTTCACCCTGCTCGTGCCTTTGCAGCTGCAATGTGCAATGCATAAGCGCACGGGGTGCTTCTGGAAGCTGATGATCTCTCGCTCGACAGTGTCTGCCAAATCCGGTTCAACGTCAACGTCGATGTCGGGCTTCTCGCCCGGCCCCCCTCTCGAATTCTCTTTCTCTCGCGCGGGCCCGTCCCAGGAGGAAGACACCTTCGTACAGCCTCAAGACGGTAGCATCTATCGCTGGGAGATTAGCAATCCCTTCCGGGAGCATTCGCACACCTGCCGGCGAAACCCTCTCTACCCGGACCTCCTTGAGGCATTCAACAAATACCTCGAGGAGAAGAGCAAGTCAGGCGAAACGCCTGCCTCAAAGTCCGCAGAGCTCGAATTGTTCAGTTCATTTGCGGCGAGCTGGCACACCGACCTGATGAATGAGAGACGGGCACTTGCTGCCGGCCAGAGTGCGGCAGTATCTGGTTCTCTTGCACTGGGCGGCAGCATCGCGCAAGGTGGTAATTCCTCATCCAATGCCTGTAGAGGCGTGAGAGGGAAAGCGTCCCCACAGCATGTTGGTGAGCTGGCCACGGAGAGGGGCAGACTTCACGGACCCTCAGAAGCAGTAGAACAGGAAGAAGACGAGCCATTGTCCGACTACGAAGGCTCAGACTATGGGTCCAACATCTCCACCGGCGAATCTCTCTTCCCTGGCAATGGAGATTCTGTAGGATGCGATTTCCTTCAGGGCTCGCCAAATGAACCAGACGGATCGAATGGCGAAGGCCCAGTCGCTGGTTTGAAAGAGCAGCCGCTACATTTCGGCCCTTCCACACAAACGACGATGACAGCGACTTCGAGCCTGGCTGACGCAAGCGCCGCAAGTCTCAGACCTCCGCTTGGCTCTCGGCCTTCTTCACCCAGCCTTCAGGCGCTCAGTGTAACTGCCACATCTACAGCCACACCTGTCCAATCTCGAAATCGCACCTTCTGGCCCTCCTTAGAGCCCCAAGAAACGCTCTGCGCGGGGCTAGAGCAATTTCTGCCGGGCGTAAGCAAATGGATGCGGGAGCGGATGAGCGAGAGGCCTGCGGGCTCAGGCCAGAGTAGATGGACAAGGAGCGTGCGTAGTACTAGTCATGCTTCCAAAAGACCTGCAACGGCCACTACTTCAGCTGTGCTCAACTTGTCCGGTCTGGTACACGCGGTCGACGACCTAATGACTCACGCTCCCTGGGCTGGGAGTTCCGCTTCGACGGCGAGGGCATCACTGGGCCTACTTCCTTCACAGACGATTGGGCAAGAGGAAGTCACGTTTCCCCCACCTCTGTTGGGCATCATCATTCACGTACCCGAGACTAGTGGGAATGAAGCTCCTGGCTCATCAGCAAGCTCCTTAAGCCGTAGCAGCAATGTCGACGAGGGCTCGAGGGGTACAGATGGCATTCTCTTGATGTGGCCCTCGCCTCAGCAGCCGTGGATGACATCTTACCATACCTTGCTCAACAGGTGCAGGTCCATAGTGGAAGCCCGGAAGCAGGTGCACCAGTCGGCCGCTGCGCAGCGTACAGGGGCAGGTGTCAGTGTTGTCGAGGGCAACACCAGCGACAGATCGGCCACGACTGGCGGAGCTCATTACGCCTCCTCTTCTCTCTCTTCATTGGAAGGAGGCAGTGTGCTCTGTTTCTACAGCGAGGTCATGATTGCCTACCCCACGATGGAAGCATGCCTGGTCAGGCACCACTTGCTCCTTCCCTCCGGCGTCACTGGGTATGATGAGCAGCAGGAAGTGGAGGCTTTGGCGCCATCCAGCGCAATGACATCTGGTACAACGACGGGCGTAGCGGTCGTTGTGCAAGAGGAAATCCGCTCTGACTTGCAAGCGACAGGCACCGTTGTCAGCCGCTTGGAGTCCCATCGTACGGCTCCCGGTGCAGTGACCTCTTGCGCCACCAATCAAGCGCCGAATTGTACACCAACGGTAACTTCAGTGGTGACAAGAGGTGCTCACTTGCATCACCTCGTGCCCTGCCAACCGGAGGAGCTTCTAGCGCGCCTTCAGCTTACAGAATGCTTCGCTCCCGCAACACTTCGAAGGAGTCCGAATCCTGACTGCATGTATCTCTGGAAACCCAACCGGCTCGTTCTCCAGAGGGTGCTGGATCTAGTGCCTGGGCTGGCAGGGAAGTTGGGCTCCTGAGTGGACTCACACCGGCCTAGAGGAATGCGTGACGTGAGGATAGGCTGAGGACTGATGGGGAAGGAAGTAGCGTTGCACCCAATGAGTCCCTCCCACAAGGGTCTACATGTTGCTTCAAACGCGCCAGCGCGGCTGACGGCTTACTTTTATGAGATGCGGCCTTGTTAATCTACAGTCAACTGTATTGAGCTGCGAATCTTTCCGTACAAGAAACGTGCTTTCTTTTGACTTGCTTCTTCGAGGTCTTGCGCGCAGGAAGCCCTTGACATGTTCACGTCCAAGATGCCCAAGGAGGGGTGTATCGCTGGAGTGCTATGAGCTGGAAGTGCCTCCTTCTCGGGACTGTGGCAGTGCCACGACGAAAGCACACGGACAGGGCAGAGGACAAGAGTCCGCAAAAGCTCGGGGTTGGGGGGTGGGGTGGGAGGGGGGTTGAGCACGAGTGCGGTCGTCAGGGCGGTCGTCAGGGCGGTCGTCAGGGCAGGGTTCAGGGCAGGCTTCAAAGCAGGCGCTAGGGCGGTCATCGAGAAGAAAGGAATTTTCTTCGCTTGAACGGGATACCTGCACAGCTCCTGATTTGCCTCGGGACGAGTTTCAGGAGCTGTAGTTCCTTTCCGCTTACGATTTGCGTCCGGGTGCAATTGGAGCTTGTAAATCAATTTTGGCCCGCCTTTGCTACGCCGTATCAGTTTCGTCCGCCCCCTGTGCCTGAGCAAGCTCCTTTGCTGTACTCTTTGTGTTGCTGGCTTCGCCCGAATGGGACGCAAGGGAGGAGCTGTGAGACCGGACGAGTGCCAGCGTCGGAGATGTCCCTGGCCCCAAAAGTAAACGACCACCCTTGCCTGGCACCTTTGCCATGTCCGTTGTCTTTCCTACTGATGTCTTTCCTACTGCACAATATTGCTCGAATTGCTGATCACCCTGCGCGATTCCCCTAGACCTATCTGCGACCTCCCCATCATGGAACCTCTTGGCGATTCACCCTTCTTCGACTACAATGGAATGACCCACTTCCGGCCCTGGCTACGCATGCAAGACATCCGCCGCAATGATCCACTATCTAAGGATCCTTTGCTCGCTGCCGCCGGATCCCTGTTCAATCGAGAGAAGAAGAAATACAAGGACTCTTCGGGGAAAGTTGGCGCCCACCGGCACTATTGGCCCAAGGTTCGTCCCGGCAGGCGACCCCGTAACGGCCAAAGCGCCAGGGCAGACTTGAGGGTAGCGGTATGGAGGCGGGTGCGCACCACAGCAGAAGTCATGGACGGTTACAGCGCAACACAAGCCTTCCAACAGGCCGTGGAGGATGTCAGTGATGCGGAGCAAGATTCTTCCTACCCAGACTTTCCACCAAGAGCCTCAACGCCCCTCTCCGGTGCCCGTAGCATGAGGGGCAGGACAACGTATACCGTCGACTCCACCTCGACCTCTAGACTATCAACGCCGACGGCGATCGGCACAGACGTCGGGCCGTCTCAGATACCTGCATCACACTTAGCAAAGGCACAGACGCTGTACGAGTGCAGGAAGGCCTACAACGATCTTCCTCCCGAGGAACAGGTGAGTACGCTGCATGGAGGGCAAGACTCGGGTGCGTACAATGTCAATTGAATAATCACACCCAAATTTTGCACTCTCTTGTACCAGGCAAGGAAACCAGTGGACTGGAGAAGGCACTGGCCCACCCTCGATGTCTATCAGAAAGCCCTACTCGAGTGTCGCACCCTGATGATACAACAGGTGCAATTGATCTCGAGGCAGCCCAGTCTGACGGCCATGCAAATTTGGCAGGCGCTTGACTCTGTGCTGCGACAGGCGGCGTACAAATTACCGCCATTGCAGTGGAATTACATGGAGTGGCCAGCTATCCCCGAAGACCCCTCGACCTCTCAGACTGCTGGTACTTCAGCCCAACACGCGCTCACTGCTGGCGACGAGCTGGTCTCCGAGGCTTTCCAGGTAGACCCCGTATTCTCAGACGCCTTGCGAACGTTGGACGTCATTGTGAAGCGCTCGGCCTTCGACAAGAGGTCCGGCACCACAGAGGGTCGCTGGCCTGCTCTGATCATCGTCTGCAGGGTGGAGGCGCTCATGCTGGTGAACATCTCGGAAGTACGTGCGGCGGCGTTCAGGGCATACAAGAAGCAAGTGGGGAACATTTACGAGCGTCCGCTGACAGAGAGTGAAAGTGAAGATGAGGGAGAAGAGGAGGAGCAGCAGCAGTACGAGGAGCAGGAGCAGGAGCAGGAGCAGGAGGAGGAGGCGGAGCAGGAGCAGGAGGAGCTGCAGCAGGAGGAGGAGCAGCGGCAGGAGGAGGAGGAGGAGGAGGAGGAAGAGGAGGAGGCTGTCGCTACGGGAGGGAAGCGGAATAGGAGGGCATCAGGCACGACAGTGCGAAGGCTCCGCCAGAGACACTCGGAAGAGAGTCTTTCAGGGAGCGTGACCGAAGAAGACGGGCAAGACCTCTTCGAACGCGCCCAAATGTCAGGCAACCAGCACAACGGCTTCGATGAGTCACGCCTTTACGCAAGATCAGGCGAGCCCAGGATGCAGGACCCCCGTCAGCCTTGCCAAAGCCTCGAAGACGATGGAGACGACAGCGAGACTGAGAGCGAGAGCGAGAGCGATGTGGATGGTGATGCTGGTCCTGGTGCCGCTGCTACAGTGCGAGCAAAGGTGAAGCTGACTGAGGGGCAACTGATTGGTTTGCACATGCAAGCTGGGGCGTGGAGGCTTCAAGAGGCGGCTGTGCATGCATTGAGTCCTTGGTGACGGGTGAGATGGGATGAAATGGGATGACGTCGGCTGAGTGGCTGAGGGGAGGAGTGAGGGGCATTGATGCAAGTGTACTTGTGAGGTCAATCGACGGCGAGAGTACTGTCTCTGCATCTGGGTATGAGGGGGTGTACTGTAACATCCTCGTGTCATTGTCCTCTGTTGTCGCTCGAGTCTGCGTCTTGCAGGTTGCGGACGTTGTGCTATGGTGGTCGGTGTCGTGCGAGACATCACAGGGAGGGTGACTTGTCCAAGGGGCAATCGCCAGATGGTCAATCTGAGTCGGATCAACGCCATCTTCGCCGAGGAACGACTTCGACTACACATGGGTGCTTTCACCTACAGCGCCAGGCTGACGAAGCGCACCTCGATGTGATCACCGGTAGGTCCTCATGTACATAGATCAGCTCCTCTAAGGGAAGACTCGCCAAAGCTTATGTCATCGTTCCATTGATTCAATGCCTCTTCGTACGAGTTTCTATACCTGACCTCTGCCGGATTCTATTCTTCACCTACGCAGCGAACTATCGTCACGAGCATACAGTCTCATCTTCTTCACAGGCTCGTTCGCGAGGCCCATGCAATCTCTCACGCTTGGAGTCGAAGGCTTACTTTCCGAGGCATGAACGGTAGATCCAGGCGCACTCGTGCTAGGGTCACGTCCCTTGCGCATGAATGCAAATGAAGGAGGCTTGCTCCTTTCTTCCTTCCTCAACCTAGCCTCTCTCAGTTTCCGAGGGGACTGCCAGTCTGACTTGCGGGCAGCAGCCTTCCGCAAGACTTCCGCATTGAACGCCGCGACTTCTGGTCGAGATGTGAAGGTCGAAGCACCAACCGAGGCGCCTGATTGTATACCCAACAGATCCGTGTCAGTGAGAAGCATTGCGGGCCAGACAGTTCACAGATTCCGTTCATTATACTCACTTTGGAGAGTCTGTTCGGCAGACTTCTCTTCAGCCACCGGTCCAGACAAGCGCGAAGGCACGATGAGAGGAGCCCAGCCGCCCTCGAGCGGATTCGACAAGTCTGAGGGTGGCAAGCGCGGAGGCGAGCCCCGCAATGCATTGTGCTTTTTGGCGATCGGTTGAGCGCAGCTGTCTTGCTCTTTTTCATCATCATAGCGGTAGAGAGAGGCGGTCTGACCTTCTTGGGAAGAAGGAAGCTGAAGTGACGCTTCATCGTGGGGATGAACGTCGACGACGGTACGGGAAGCGTGTAAGCTCACTTCGATGGGCTTGTACGAACCGCTCTTACGAAAAGGGAGCGGAAATATGGGGCAAGAACAGGGAACTGGGGGCTGCTGATATCTCCAGCAGGACAAGGCTGTGTTTTGCAAACCAGCTTTGGCTCCGTTCGTTCAGGGCTCAGGAATCCTAGCCAAGCAAAGTTGCTGTAGGGTTGGCGGTCCGCTGTAGATCGGTAGCTAGGCGCAGGAAAGTTGATCTCTCGCGACAATTTCATTTAGTTCCTGAATTGTTTGCTAGCTCCGGAATTGCGCCTCGAAGAAGAACACGGTAGTGGGTCCCCCATGCACAACACATGATCTTCCACGGTGTTCAAACAAGGACCTGCTATGCACGATCGATTCACGACTGTCCGCCCGCTGTTGTCTTATGGGGACCTCTCTACCTAACACAAAACGAAGTTCTCGGAGCGCTGCCTCCGGATCCTTCCGTCTGAACTCAAGTACCGTGCGCCCCTTGCTCAGGGGGAGCCCCTCATCACGCTCTTCGGCCGCGTGCTAGCCAGAGGGGGGTCGAGCCCTCAGTCTCGACCCCTTGCAGCGGACGTAAATGGCTATTGCACACGTCCTTGGTGATGATCACACCTCTACTCTGCCTGGTCGGAACAGGTGGTGGGCACCCGCACAAAACCTATATAGGCATGAGTAGTCCGACTCTAGCCATTAGGCTCGTACGCCCTCAGGCGCTGCCACATGCTAACACCAACAACGAAAGCCATCCCTCACATTCGACTCAACACAAAGTCGACTTTAAGCTCCGACCATTGACAAACGCTGACAGACATCGCCATGGAACTCGAGCTCGAAGAGGCCTCCGCCGAGATCGTGGGTCAAACAAGTGGAATTCGCAAAGTGTGAAATGTACAGGAAGTGGTGAAAGTGACAGGGTAACCAAAATGAAAGCTGGGATGAAAGGTGGCTGAGCGCCAGGTGGCGAATCGCACTTCGGCTCCGAGGGCTCAACATGAATTAGCACATCTGCGTAGCTGGCTTCGAGGCCGGCCAGAGTTCGATCCCTCAGTGCCTATCGAATTCCAGAAGACTTTGGGCGCAAAGTGGGCAAAAGAGTTCTGTGAACAGGAGGTAAGTCCGCCTTGCGCGGCCACTGTCAGGAGGAGAGCGATGGCGAATATGATGGACTTGACGATTCCTGAACCTTTGCTCTTTCTTCGCTACGGTCCACTTACTTCGCAGCATGCAAAAGGCACACCTTCAGCGGAATGGCTCTCCAGCTGGACCAGTCTGAGGAGACGTTTAGGGGAACCTTCTGAGGACATCGCCGGCAAGACACACAAGGTGGCGAACGCTCTGCTCAAGGACCAGGGCCTCCTGCGATCCAATCCGGACAGCGACGATGACGATGACGAGAACGCAGACGACGAAGCTGACGGCGACGACCACATGGACAACAACAGCTTGCGCAGTCACCTCGAGGAGGTCCCAACTGGAACCAAGTTTGTGCCCTCACCGCCCTTCAAAGGCGCAGAAGACGTCAGAGAGTTCATGTCCGGTGCGGAGGTGAAGGTGTATGAGCAGGAGCTGGTAAACAGGGCACCTGTGGACTTGGGAGGCCGGAGCGGAACATTTATGACCGTTACGATCTCCACACGCTGACATTAGGAGGATGCCGTCTTGCGGGATCAGTTCTGCTTCAGCATCATCCGCAAGTCCGTGAAGAAAGCACTGAAGCCCAACACACTTCCGCGGGGTCAGATTCGCAGTGGCGACCCTTCGTTAGATCAGCTCCGTCTTATTGCAGACTGCCTCGACTTCATGAGAGCACGCTTCTGCGTAACAAAATGGGAGTCCCCTACAGCGGGCAGGGTACGGTGCTCCGACCTTTGGATCGTACTCTGGAGCGCCGAGTGCAAGGGGCACACGAGACGTCGGGAAAGGCGGATAGTCTGCCGGGTCTGCTGGACGACCTGGAGGCGTTGTTGGACGCTTTAGGCATGCCCACCTCACCGGCGGAGACAGTCGTTTCGGACCGCTTAGTCCATCAGTGCGTGTACCGCATCAGCAGCTGCAGATACAGGGTTACGACCCACAAGCTCGACCTTGATACCAAGCGTGCATCGCATCGAACATCAAGGCTGCCCAGCGAAGTGGGCAAGCCACCACTTTCGGGATATGTGTCCAGGGGTTCGAACTGCAAAGGCAGCATCCAGTCTATGACACACATCGGTTCCAGTCGGGAGGGTGCAAGCTCAAGGGCGTCGTCCACTTCGGTAGGATCGTATGATGGCGAGGCGACGGAATTGACTCATCAGGACGAGAATGCTGGTGATGAAACTGTCATCGAGCATAGAGCTCCCTGTCATGCTCACTCTTGAGGCGCTGGGGGTAACTTTCTAGCTCTTTATCCATCGGGAATGCCCGTGCTGCTGTCCGAAATCCGCTCTCGCTGTCATCTTGCTCCAATTCAACATCGGAAGTCAAAGACGTATTCAAGATTGGGACGACACCGCACACGCCTGCATGACGTGAAAAGATACGTGAACACTTCAAACAATAACGGTTGGTCTTCGCAAGGTCGCAGTGAGAAAGCTCAATTCCCCAATGCTCGGTGCACAGCGCCGGAGAATCTTCCGCCGTGGTCTGCGCCCATCGACATCGCCAAATCACCCTGTACGTCTCAATCAGCGTGACATTTCAGGAAACAGGAGCGATGAAGAAGGAGTGGCATGCAAAAGTAGGTGATGTACCACTTTTCAGTCTCGACTGAGATGGTGTGATAGGTATTGAGACGCATACGTGTAGCAGAGGAGGGCTGAGCGTGATCATATCAAACAGCACAGTATGAGAGGTGAGGGAACGGTTCGGCCAACCTTAAGTCTCACCTATCCCCCCCTCAGTAATCCGCGCACCTCTCCCAGACAAGGTACCGGTAGTAATGATCCAACGACATCCCTCGCGGAGCAGCTCCAACAGGTGTATTCTTGAGTAGATGTCCCTCTCCGAGTAGACAATCCTTCTCACCTCCGGCAGCCAAGGCAGCTCATAGCCAATGAGACGTCGTGTCCTCCCCACAGTAGCCGCGTGTGCAGCAGTGTACGCGTCCTTCACAGCGATTCTATAGACGTCACGCACCTTGTTGGTGACACAGGAGAAGAGTCTGCACCACTCTAGGTCCATGTGCCGCCAGTTACTGTTCCTTTGCAGTCGGTCGTAGATCCTGCACTCCAGCAGTGGATACATGGGGCGCAAAAAGGCGTTACTCGAGGAGGGCAGCGGTACGGCGGATGTACTGACCAAAGAGCGGGAAGGACGGAAGAAGAGGCGGTTGACAATCTGCCTCGCTGAATCGCGGACCGAAGTGCCTCTTGTCCCACCACTAGGGGCGGCCTTGTCTGTGTAATCGCTCAGGGACGTCCGAACGCTGTTTGTAGCCTGTATCTTCTTGTAGTAGGCCCTGGTCGTCTTTCTTCCGTTCTTGTACCACAGCAAGAAGAGATCGTCGAGGTTAGACTCCACTCTTCTTAGCCACGCGAGGTCGATGCTTTCTGCCGATGAGACAGAGTGGCTGTGTTGTTCGAGAATTTTCTCCAGACAGCTTATCATCGTCTGCAGAATCAGCTTGTCCAATCGCACGGACGTCTGCTGCAAGGGTACCAGAGCGATGATGCAGTAGAATAAGTAATTCTAAGCTCTCGGAAACGTCGTACGCCCCCTTGACAGCAAGCCTGGCCTGCAATCCCCCCC